TAATACGATGATGGAGGGGAACCTCAGAACAGGAGGGGGGAGGAGGAAGGAGTCTATTGAGCCTCCGGCCTAGGCCAGTGCCTAATGTGATTAGCATTTTAATGCTGCTGCTTTTTTACGATTGATTTATCAAATGCGTTCAGCAGTCCCGTGCCGCTTCTCTTCTTATGCCATCCACGGACTCATAATGTGCCTCTAGAGTAACGGACGTGACTGCGGGGTCCAATCCTAGGGCTGCTCTCATCATTTTCGGCTGAGAGTTGCGTAACTCTCCTGTGAAACCATTAGCAGTTACTGGAAGTACCTGTAAAATTTTTTATTTTCTTCGTATTCAATGAGAATGCTCTTAATACTATTTAACAGCAATTGTAGACTGAATTCTTCATAAAAATGAGTAAAAATATCACTAACTAGAGGTAAAATCTTGGCCAAACATGATATAATTGGACCTTCATGTGTGATTCTCTGTTAGATGATGCGATTTCTGTTTTAATTTTAGTTGTCATAAACTATATTGCATTCTTGCAATTAATTTCGCATCGATAAGACTCCTAGTGCGTTTCATTTAAATGTATACGTCCCTTTCCTTTTTGTAATTGTTTGATGAAATATTATGTAAAAACTATCACACTGCGCTTTTGAATTCCCAAGTATAAAATAATGGTAGATTACAGAGCCACTGAAACGCCTTGCAAATGAGAGGAGCAAGGAACAAAGCGATCCGATTGAAGAGTACTGAAAAGATACCTCTCCCTGCTACTTTTGGAAGTTCAGAAACTCGTAATGATAGTACCACCAACTTATAATCGCAGTTCCAAATATAACAGGATCAGTGTTCGAAACTCACAGGCACCAACGCGCCAAATGCGCCTAAAAAATCGGTCATGGCGCCTAAAAAATGAAGGCTCTGCGACAACGTGGCCCCGAAAAATCTGGGTTTACGCAGGAAGTCACCTAAAGAAAGAAAAACAAATCTATTTGAATTTAAAAATCTCAGAATTTTCAGCAATACAAGTGAAAGTTTGATTTTTCTTGTCTTCACGATTTTATTCTCAGTGCTTTTGTCTTCCCCAAGTTACAGCTACTTACTAGTTCTGTTGCGAAAACATCTTGCGTCTAACTTTTCATTGAATGCGCCGTAATATATGGGCAAAAAGTCAATTTGGCCCCTAAAAAATCTTCAATGGCGCCTAAAAATCGGGCTTGATGCGCCGCATGACTCCTAAAACTCAAAGGTGAGTTTCGAACACTGAACAGGATAGTCACAATAGTTGTTAATTATTTATGCTAAAAAGCGACGTACAATGTATCTGCGGGAATGAACTTTCATCGGACAAGTAAAATAAAAAAAAAGTCAATTGAAAATATAGTGACAGGAAAATAATCACGTGAGTGTAGAATGATGCTCCGCGTCATTATCTAGGATTGAAGTTCATAATTATCTGAGAAAAATACGGATAGAAATTGTTATAATTCTCGAGATTAATTATCGGCGACGCGAGGAAACTGTTGGTTCGAAAGAAAAGTTGCGAGTGAAACCCGGAGTGAGCCGACTTGGGAAAGACTTGTAGCGCTACGTCGCGGGCTCTTGTATGTAATTAAGTTTGGGAATTTTTATTCAGATCAGTTTCTCTGAGCCATTGTCTGCGGTAATCCGAGGCGAGGGAAAAGAATTGTCCGAGCCCGCTAACTGGGAGAGTAGAATCAGAAAAGAGACGATGTTCCCTGTGAGATAATATAAAGCATAGTTGCCTCAAAGTACAAAGCAAGGTTGCCTCCTCATGCTACAGTTCTTATACTACACCTTTAATAGATCGTATTTGACAGTGGTTTGATGAATAATTCAGTTCAAAACAATGGAATATGACCCCAAACAAAAATTTTAAGACTTAAAATGGAAAAGCTGAAAATGAGAAAATGCCTAACAATTGCATTCTCCATTGCCATTTTGTACCCATAGGTATCAAAAATTCACCACAAAAACCTCGTTCCCTCATATTACTGAATTGATTTTTGAGGCTGTGTTTACATGTTGAACCATTCGATATCGATACAATTCACTTGTTTGATGTATCGATTACGATCCGTAATAGACTACACGGAAAAAACGAGCTTAGGGTTGGGACCTACATGTTAGTGCTGGGCACTAACGAGGGTTAGATCAAATGGAGCCAGCAAGTCAGAGGAGTGCTGGGCACTAAACAGCTCGAGGCTGGGTCACTAAGGAAGAAGTAGTGTCAAGCCCTAAAGTGACTTTGGAGCGAGCGTAAAATATGAAACGTCTCGACCTGGGATCGAACTCGGGTCGCGCCGGTGGAAGACCAGCGCGTTACCACCAGGCTATCGAGGCTCGGACGTCTCAAGGGTGAATTTACACCTGTTCAGCGCAACTACGTCTCGCGGCATCTGATTAGCACTGCTCATGTTCAGTGCCCACCTGTACTGCCTTCCGGCGTTGAGCTGTACAGCGCTTAGACGCCAGCCCTCAACTACTCCCCACTAAACGGCCAGTAGTGCTCAACACTAGTCTTGTTTTTTCCGTGTACTATAGGCGGGGTAAGAATTAAGCGCCACACAGTGTTGATTTCGCAAGTTTGCAACACTGTTTTCCTCCATTTAAATCCGTTAAAAATATTGATTCGAGAAGCTTCACTAAGAATCGATTGTTTTACATAAATTGAAATGGAGGAAAAACCATTAACCAACTTTACGCCGGCCGCGGCCTTTAAATATGTTGGTTTATTTTTGTAACCGTTCGTTTAAGTCTCCACGTGCGAAACGCGCAATCGTTGGGATTTTGCTTCTATTTTAACAGCACAGTCTTTTCCACTCATCTACGGTGCATTTACTCTTTAAGAGGCATGTAAGATTGCAGAATCGATCAATTGAGGACCAAGCAATTTCACGTTTGCCACTAAAATCTTAAAAGCAAACAGAGACAAAAATGCTACTTCCGTGGTAATTTTTCCGTTGATTTTAGCCCGTATTAAATGGATATTCAGGATGAAGCAGTTTCAAACACGGAAAAATAAATGATGTCAAGGGTTATCCCCTAAAATTTTGGTACCCCAATTTGTTGGATGATATGTGCATTTCAAAATAATTGTGGTAGTACCCCAACATTTAGGTTTATATTTGTAACCTACCGCAATTAATTGAAACTGACCATATCATCCAACTTCCAACAATACCCGTACCTCTTTTCCCCGTGAACTTTGGTAAGAAAATACACTTATTTTTAGTTTAGATTATATCATAGAAAATGATGCGACCGACTGCTGATCCAAAAAAGGCTGGTTCTGCTATAGGTAATACGGTTTGTTTCACCTGAGCAATCGAAAGATCAAGTCAGGCGTTTCCGATACAGCGAGGAGTGGCATTGCACAGATGTTGCGGGAAATGATAAAACACGGATAAATCTAATTGGTAATGCCCGTTCATTTACAACAAACCTCGAGTCCGAGCAAACGTTGCCAAGATGTTCAAAAAAATTCTGCTTGGCGCTTGTAGAGCTACTCATTTTTGTGGTACATAACACACACTTTTACAACGCTCTCTCGGATTTCAACGATCCGACCCACCCACTCGATCTGAGGAGCACGACAATACACTCCTGTTCATGTCTTTATCGCGTTAATAACGCCGTTGTTTCATACATCAGCGTTATCGCTTCCTTTTTCGTCTATCGCCCTGCCAAAGGAGAGGTCAATGCTTCAACGCGTGCTCATTATTAGCCTTCGTTGGAACCTCCCGTTTCTCATTTTGGATCGAGGATTCATTGTCGTTGCTGAAAGTGACCATAGGGTGGTGTAGGTGGTTATTCTTCGGTTACATTTTCCATATTATTTTAGCTTATAATCCAGCTGAAGAACATGTGGGATATTTAAAGATCTTTTTCGTAGTTTTTTGCAACCTAGTGGCTGAATGAAAATCAATAAGTTGAGAATACTCAGAATCAGACGTCTTGATGCTTCCTCTTTTTTTCTTCCTTCCTTTTTTTTGTTTTTTTTTTAGAAAAGTTGAAATGATGTTCCAAACTTTGATTACATCATTCCTAATTCGAAAATACTCATGGACGTTTTCAGTCTCCACCAATATAATTAACGCAACTTCACGTCCTATGGTGCTAATACTTGAATAATAAGAACTACACTGAGCATGATTTCTCGATTCCATTTTGTTGATGTATTACTTCCGGGTCATATCGAGGATGTGGCATAACGAAACCAAAGTTTTCATTACATGTGGCACGGAAAAAAAAAGGGGGGGGAGGGGGGGCTCAGGAGCAACGGGAGACTTATGATACTTTCTTGATTTTGATTTATTGAATAACCGACTTCATTCGTGATTTTATTTCTCAGTATATTTAATTCTTCTATTTGACTTTTGAAAGAAAATTGTCCCTAGTTAGATTTATGGACGTTTAAAATCCTGTGAAATAAATAAAGTATCAGTCATAACGCTCAAAATTGTGAGAGAATCGGCAAATATAAATACAAAACTGCTGAGGACTCATGCTGCACCTACCTTTTGTGGAAACAGCAGGTTTGGATACATTCTTTTTTCAGTTCCGCATCCTTGATGTACTGCTAAGTTCGATGAGGCTCTTCTCCAAAATCCGCATTATGCATCACTTTCCCGCATCGTAACGAACGAGCTTTAGAACAATCACTTTTTTAAAAGAACATTTAATGCAGAAATATCCTGTTCCTAGTGAGAAAAAGTGTTATCAATAGTCTAAACTATCGTGAAAAAATCACTTGAAGCGAAAGTTCAATTCACAGTATCAACTGTTATTCATGAAAATCATCCGTATGATGGGATAACTGATTTTTTCCCCCAAACGTTACCACCCACAATATTCAAAACTTATCCGGTAGGAGGCAAAGCCATCATCGCTGATGATATGATGAGGGTTTGTACGCACTAATTTGGAGTCCTGTTTAAACAATTGCCTTACCGATTATGAAGTTGAATTAGATAACTGAGTAACTGTGTTTGCCCATAAGTTGCTTCTTTATTTGCCATTCGTTTTAATTTACTATTATAATAAACTAATGTTTCACTTTCGTAAAACTTTAATTCAGACTGAAACTTCTCAATGACCCCTAAAATTACCTGTATCACATTGAAAAACTGAATCTGTAGAGGAAATATGATTGAATTTGAAAAAAATCAACTGATATCTACAAATTTGCCTCGGGGATCTTAATGTTTAGACAAAATGAGATTGAAACATGTTATGGAACAGAAGCTGTGCACTGCATTAGGTTGTAGCTGGATTTTTGACCTACGAACCAGAAAAGGACTTAATGTCTTACACTTTTCGAGCGGTCTAAGATACAAGCTGTATTCTGCCCGATACTGAAGCCTCAGAAATGTCTATTTGAAACTATAATATACTTGTCTAACTCTTTGAAAAATAGACTCAACGGAATTTCCAGCACATTGGCCGGAATTTTAAGACGCACCTAAAAACCGCTGAAACTTGAAACCCTTTGAGTATATAGAACATCTTGTTTGATTCATGACCCCTATCAAACTTACAGAGATCCCAAGGAGCATCTTAGATTCTGGCCATTAAGCTACATCCATTTCCATGAGATGCACAAGTAAAACTGTATCACTTAGTCCCTCACGCTATAAAATTGGTCCCGCTATCTTATTTGAGGTCAATCCGAAATACTCACAAATCGGCTAGGCAATTGTATAAACACAGGTCAAATACTAACATTGATCACCTCACTCGCTAATCTATAGCCACTTTACAAGCGACTCACTTACAAGACGCGTTTTACAGTAAACGGATCATACAAATGATAAGCTGACCGGGTCTTATTCTAGGTCATAATTCGACAAACCCCGCAAGGTGATGCTGCACTACACTGCACCGTAAGAACCTGTCGTTGGCCACTTCACTGGTTGGTATTCACTTGTGTTGGGGATGATTCGAGTGTTTTTGTGATCTTCCGAGGATGCAAGGGCATCCGGAGAGGTTAGGAAGCTGCGGTCGGGCAGAAGGAACGCGGCCGTGGATCCGGCGTCAAGAGCGGTCTCGTTATAACTGAACAGCGACCGGCGACCCGCAACTCGCCCGGAGCCCTGCTACGGTTGATCCGCGGTGGAGAACACATCAACGCGCCCTGTTGTCGGGTTGCCGAGTCTTCCAGCTTTTGAATAAACCAGGTAATGGAGCTCTTGCATATGGATTACATTTGGACTGCATTTTGCAAAAAGGAACCACTATCCCTGGCTCTCCCATATAAGCACATATCTGCACAGGGAAACCAATGGCATTCATGTTGTTTCTAAAATGGGCTAGAAATAGTGGTTCCCTATTGCAAAATGGATTGCAAAAAGGAACCACTATTGCAATGTTGCTAAGATTGTGCATCTTCTTTTGTGTTGGAGGAAAAACCCGATTATCCATTAATAGTTTCTATTTTACTCGCTAAAAACTGTAAATTTAAGACAAAAATTACCATCTAAATTTCATAGTTTTTCACGATTTCCGCAATTTTATTGCAAAAGATGAAGTTGCACGCTCTTAGCATCATTGCAATGCTAGTGGTTCCTTTTTGCAATCCATTTTGCAATAGGGAACCACTATTTCTAGCCCATTTTAGAAACAACATGAATGCCATTGGTTTCCCTGTGCAGATATGTGCTTATATGGGAGAGCCAGGGATAGTGGTTCCTTATTGCAAAATGTAATCCATACGTAAGACATTTGCGATTTCAGTACTTTTCCTTACGTGAAATTTCGCGAGAAACACGATTTCACCCGACTTTCGAAATGGTGCCTCCCCCGTTTACCCCCAAAAAAGGCTGAGGGCCCATAAAAAGCGGATTTCTTGGGGTCGATTACCCGGAAAACCAAATTTTCCGGAGAATCTACGTCAATTTTTGACCAAAGGGAAATTATAGAGGGAGCCGCTGTCCCCCTCTTTAAGGGTTTTGTTTTGGGCGTAAAGTGGTCCAATTTTGGATTTTTAGGGGTCAATTTTTGTGAAATTTTCGGTACTTTTCATTTTAATGCAATCGAATCGCAATTCTATCGAGAACCTCGACTTTTGGGATCGTACCCACCTTTACCCCCCAAGGGTTTCTGGGGGGGGGGGAGTTCGGTACCTTGGGGTTCCTTGGGGTCAATTCCGTATTCAACCCCGCGGTCCCCGACTTCGTACGACCTAAGCCGACTGAGAAAAAGGCCTGGTATACAGGTTGTCTGGGACACCTGTACATGTATTTGCACCCTATCTTTGCTTAGAGAGTTTGTCTTGATATAGAGGTGGACTCTCAGGCTGGCGTGGGATATCTCCTCCATTATGGTCTGAACTTTGAGAGATTTTTTGAGCTTTAAGGTCGATTTCAGAGGAAACCAGCGGGACTACCGTATTTATTTCTCTTAGCACAGGAATCAGTATTTTAATCGCAAATCGCTCACACATGCGAGAGCTCCATAAAAGAACATACTACCCTGCTGTGTAATGGCGCACAGTTCAGTGGGGAAAATAGGTATTTCAATGACCGAAGTGCATATCCCCCTTATCTACATTGCGATGTTTCAAATTTTCTGTTTCTCTCTTATTTTTTTCGAAAAAACAAACCAAAGTTATTGCTTGAAACTCACAAACTCTGCTAAGAGAGAAGAAAAATCAAGTAAGTTTTCCAAGAAACTACTTACATTTCCAAAGTAAAAGAAAAGTAGAACCGGGGTCCATGCTTCCAGAAAGTTCAAAAATGGAACGCTTAAGCGAAGTATCAACACTTGCACTCGAAACTGATCAAATAAAACGCACAGCATGCAAATTGATGGCTAAAGTGAAACGACGATTGGTACGATGGCACGATGGACCTTCGGTTGGACAATGGACATCAACGATAGAGGATAGGTTCGACAAGGTGCTAACGTTAAGGAGGCATTTTGACATTTTTTTCTGATCAGGTTTGAAGTAAAATACGAATCCTACAGTTAAAATTACTGCAATTAAATCCAAATCAAGATATTTGACGTTTTTTGATACGTAAGTTCAAACCTCCCGCTCGTGGATAGAAAATAAACGTTGACATGAGCCAAAAATCCTTAAACCGTGCACTAAACTTAACCTTAGCAGTCTCTCTGTGGTAGGAAAAGATGGTAGCCTTGATTTTACGCGTTACTTTTACGAATTTATACTGTAGAGGTGCTGTACTCCGTATACGCAATGCGCTTATTTTCCTACCTCTGCGTTAAAGTCTCCGTTGAAAATGAATGGATTCGTGATCGTTTCGATGCACGATTCAGTTTCCCAGCCGTAGCGCTGCAGGCAGTCATTGATACTATAGGTCTACATCCACTTAAGGAAAATTTGAGTCACACTGCTTCAAAAAAAAAAAAAAAAAAAAACTAAAATGAGATGGTGATATAAATGGGATTCGGATCTATAGAATACGGTAGACGCTGATTGACACTAATTCAGTGCTTATCTATCGTCTTACTCTTTCTCTCATACTCCCTTCATCCCCATTCGTCCCAATTCAATTCGTTCGTGATTCACGGTGATATTAATTGTCGTGATTATCGGAGAAATTTAGGGTCCCGCCCCCAGACCGCTTCGCGGTCCAAACCCCGCGCTTCGCGTCTTGGGTGTTATGAAGTGCTCGCTACTCTAGTGATTTTACATTTTTGAGTAAGATGTGAAAAACACATGGTAACAATTGCTGGTGTAAACTTGATAAAATCTGTGTCTAAATTGAATCCTACATAAAGTTTTAGTCTCAATAAGAACCTCATAGATATATTGTTTAGGACAGTAAGAGTATGGATGACTTGGTAACGAGTCGCCCGCACATACCAGGAGAGGAACCACTCAGCGCTTTCAATTTTTACGTATGCAGCGCAAAAGTGCCATTCATGGTAAAACGGCATTATAGTATTTTGCCGTAGTGACGAAAAACTCCGTATAAGCCGTCAGGCGTTGCCAAATTTCGCCTGATAAATTACGAATTTGTGAATTGAGAACTTCTGTATCATTTGTCACCCAATTTTTCTAAGAATTTTATTAAGAATTTATTCTACAGTATCTGGAGTTTTCCAAGAAATTCATCCACAAACATCCTCACAAATGAATGTTTAGCAGAGAGATATTTGGGAACATCCGAATGTTCATACGGCGTTTTTCCTCAGCACGGCATTCCTGTGAGACTACCGAACGTAGGACATTTCATCGTCCCTCTGACGTAATGACGTATCTCAATTTCCACGTGAGCCCTGTCTCACATATAAATCCAAGCTTTCTGGGGCTCATGCGGAAATCCAGATACGCACTTACGCCAGAACAGCAACGCTGCCGTACCAAGGAAAAACGCCGTATGAGCCGTCAGGCGTTGCCAAATTTCTCCTGGCAAATCACTAATTTTCAGAAAAATTGTTGAATATTTGTCTACTAATGGCTCAGATAATTTTGTTTGTGATTTGATCCAAAACTTCTGAAAATTTATAGGAAAAATGGACGCATTTCTTTCAAACGGAACTAAGCGCCAATTTGAGTTCCTTTTGAGGAATTTAGAATGCCGGATAGCACGTTCTGTCAAACGGAACTAAGCGCCATGGAAAATCATTGCGAGTATAGGACGGAATGAGCCTGACGCCCGGTTCCGCCGCCAGTCCGAGCCCCCATCTGCCTTCTCCCCCCTTTGGCGCTTAGTTCCGTTCGACAGAAATACGTCCAAATATTCATAACTCTCCTCAAAAATAAACATTTTATCCAAGAAAATTTGGCAAGTCTCGAATGTTACGGCGTTCTTCCTTAGCTCGGCAGAGCGATTTGATCTCGGATTCCGACGGAGAGAACTTGGCGGCCAAAAGCAGACAGCTCGGCTGCGACAAAGAAGATCGAAAATGGATAAAAAGTGCAGATCGCTGCTGGGGGAGCGGGAGAAAATACTCGATGACTTTGCCCCGCGAAGGTGATCCCCGGGGCGAACTACGGAGAGCGAAAGGAAGTAGGTTATGACCACTGGAGCACCGCACCGCGCACGCGCCACGCACAGAGATGAGGTGCGTCGAGACGCGGCCGTCAACCCGACCGCTTGCAATGAAAGTTCAGCCGACTCGGCCAGGTCCGTGGACAACGGACAACGATTAGATGCTCGCTTGTGTTTAGTACCGCGCCGTAATCGAGAGGAAACTTTACCGATCGCTTTGGATCCGACGTTGCCACAGTTACAGAGATATTGAACTTGTTGGCGAGAAAGCTACAGTGTTAAAAGTGATTATGCCACAAAGAGAAAAAAGTATCACAATTGGACGTATTTCTATCAAACGGACCTAAGCGCCAAGGGGTGAGGGAGGTAGAGGGGGGCTTGGATTGGCGGCGGAATCGGGCGTCCGGCTTATTCCGTCCATACTCGCAATGCTTTTCCATGGCGCTTTGGTTCGTTTGACAGAACGCGCTATCCGGGATTCTAAATTCCTTAAAAAGAACTCAAATTGGCGCTTAGTTCCGTTTGATAGAAATACGTCCAATTTCAACTATACTCCTGACTGATTTTGGCGCCAGATACATTAGTAGTTGCATCAGCCAGAGGTACGGTTGAGTCAGCCGAAAAAGTGGTCAGGTAAACCATACTTCTGGCTCGTGCGGCTACTCTTATATCGGGCTTCAGAAGAATAGTTGAGATAGTGATACTTTTTTCAGTGCATGTACCCGCATTGAGGACGAGAGGCCAAATCTTTTTGGTGCAATTTTCTTTAAGAACGCTGCAAAATAACTAAATTAGTCGTGAACAGTATTGAAGCAGTGCTTCCTACATGCGACCAAGTCAGTTCATTGTTCCGAAAAAATATGAAACTCGTGGAAAAAAGGCGCAACTAAAAATTTTCATAGCAGAGCGTGGTTTCGATCCACGGACCTCTGGGTTATGGGCCCAGCACGCTTCCGCTGCGCCACTCTGCTTCGTGGAGGCGTAGTGAACTTGCCAATAAAACTAGATCAGCCGCCAAATAAAAACAGACTTGTACATAATGATAAGAAATGAATGTTCGAAATATAATTCACTGCATTCTGAACTCTGTTATGACAACTACTTTGCTTCCTAGGACCAAGTTACTCTCGGTTCCAAACAAGGATAATCTGCCTCTCTCTTTTTTACTTGACCCCTCTATATATTTTTATGTAGATGATTTTTATGTATGTAGATTCTGGAGGTTTCGGAAAAAAGTTTTTTTTCTCTTTCTACGGTGATCAAAAAGCATTTGCGCCGTGCAACAAAAATATTTTTAAAGAAAACTGTTATGTTTGAAAAACAGTATATTTTCGTCTACGTTCGATATTGAAGAAAAAAATAATGCATGATATCCATTTATACTGACCATAAAATTTCCGAGTTTTAAAGGTTGAATTGGCAACGTGTTTTTGTCGCAAACTGGACTAAAGAGCATTGAATCAACTGACATTGACAAGTAGACAGTGCCAACACACCGGTCATTTCACTTTCACACGTTTTTACCCATTATACCGATACTGAATCGTAATCGGATAATATTCTAGATGTGCAATTTATCACTGTGTCAGAGTCATCTCTCTCAAGGGCAGGGTCAACTCTTTACGAGGAGAGAGGCTGATCCATTGGTCTTGCCCAGTTGTTACATTAGAATTCTTAATTCTACGCTGTCACTTGAAGCTCTTTTCTTTAATGCCTATTATGTGGTACTACAAACTGAAAGCTACGAGAATACTGAAATTAGAGAACATGATTTAAACTTAGTTTAGATAAAATAAAAAGAGATTTTGTCCAATGATTTTGAAAAGAAGGTTTTGTTGTAGTATATTATTGAAGTCATCTGTGGACTGGGAGCTAGACTGTGCAAGGCACTATTAAAATGTACTGAAAATCGCGAAAACTCATTTGCACGTAAAATCTTAAAAAAGTCGGACGCGTTTTGGGCTGTTGCTCCAATGCTCTTTCTGCACAGTTGAATCAGACCACCGGAGAGTGGCAGCTCAAAACGTGTCTGGATTTTCAAAAATTTCATAAAGTGAGTTTTAACAGTTTATAAATGTTCTTTTAGACGTATTAAACATATTATGAGATGGGTTTTATAGCCTAGCCATGTACTGAAAGATTTTGAATTAATCGAAAGACAAAAAGGATCACCGAAAGTTACCTGCTGTAAGTGCGGTCAAATTGTAAATCTTTACAGACAAATCAGATTTACGCATTTTAATTTTATGATGTGCATATTTACAAGTGTCTGCTCCGGTTTATCTTTGACTGGGAAAACCAAAATGTTAAAGAGAGGGACAGCCAAAACAAAATTTTAAACGACTTTACACTTAAATTTTTTATTCATAATTATTGTAAACTTAGACTAATATTTACAACATGAGCGAAAGTAAGTTTTCACCAGCTGTCACGGTCAGCATACATTCAGACTTAATACCAAACTAAATAACCTTGAGATCTTTCAAACTTGTTAGAGCTTAAACAAGAGAAAATTAAGGCTGCTTTACTCATCAGGTACCTCATTTAAGACATATTTATATTACAAAAATATTATCCTTGAAAGGGAAAAGATGTGATCAGTAAAGTTCACTAGTCATGCGTACAGTTACGGTTGAATTTGAGCACGTATTCTTTAAGTAACGTTCAAATATTTTAGCATGTGCCTTCGTTAATGTGCGCATGACTTTTTTTTGCCAGGTTTCAAAAGAAAAGATGAGCAAAGGAAATACATTCATGGATTCTGAAGATTACCCAAGAAAGATACTTCCCCAGAAATCATAGTGATTGAAGTGTCTTTAAAAAGACTAAGAAAAATTAAGGGGCTTCGGCTTCCTAAATCGAGAAATACGTGTTTGAAGTTTCGAAATTACACGGATTCTTAAAAAATGGAATTTTGGAGCGAATTTTTCACAGAATATGTAGTAAGACTAGTTTCACTTGAAATTATCATTATCTCATTTTTTTTCAAAAACTGCTTTTATGTGCCTTTTCCCCCAAACCCCTCAATTGATCTCTAAATCATTCATTACATACACGACGGAAAATTGTGAGATTGAGTCAAGGAGACTCAAAATTGAATGCCTTGTGACATTCCATTTGAATTTTTCCTGGAAATATTTTTCAGGAAATTTGAATCTTCATGAAATCCGCGCATTACATTAGAAAATTATGTACGCAGTTTAGAACATCAATTCCGAATTGACAATCGTTTCACACCCTCGTGGAAAGTCTCAACAAGAGGACGAAATCACATAAATACATTAAAAAAACGTAGGTGGGTAAAATTTATAAATCGCAATCCACATTGAGAAATGCTTTTGCAATGAAATATTCTTTGGAAAATTCTGGCCATCAAATGGAGGAATAATTATACCATGATGCTCTCAGGTAATTCAGGCATCAATATCGTGCTTTCTGATGAACTAAGAGCACCAACTAATTGGAAGGTACCATACGTGAAAACGGCAAAAATTAGAAACACCAGCAAGTATTGAAGTGCAAAGAACCTGAAATAAAAACAATAAAGTCAGTATGTAATAGCCTTCCTGCTACAATGAAAATGCTTTGAAAAATATTGGCAACAATTTTAGTTGCAAAGATCAAATCAGTCTGATTTTTGATCGCGCCACTGATAAAAATTTATTATTTTTTTGTAACATTGTTTCGAATAGATAAAAGCCTCAAATAACGTTTCCCTAAGAGAATTACAAAAGAAACTTGAAACTACCGCCCGGTTAAGGTGAAAGTATTTACTGACATAAAGTAAGAATTACCTGTCAAATATTTGAAATTCTTTTCATGTTATCTCATTTTGAGGATATATGACATGCATAAAAAACTGATGTGGCTATTGGTTAAATTTAACTATTCTTCGCTGATATCATTTACTACCAGAGACAAAAAGAGACCATCCATCGGTGTCTTGGAAATCGTGAAAGCATTTACTTTCGGGACTCCAACATTCAACTGTTGACCTACTTCCTGGGTGGATGTTGAACAACGTGTTCGATACGTGTAAGTTTGGTAAACTTGTTTGGCTCATAACGTCACCTGAAGCTCATCATCCACCTAATAAGTAAGTCAACAGCCGACAAAAAGATGATGACTGTTGCTTCCATAAGTGCCCATGTAAAGAAGCGTTAAATCCCCAAAAGTAAAAGTTTCCACCTGTCACCAAGAGGCTCGGGGAGGATCTTTCTTTGTCTCTGTTCATTACTCTCACAATCACCCTCAATCAGTGACATCGTTCGCGCATTATGTAAGTTTTTACTGCAGTTTGATTTATTTGATCAAATAGGTAAATATTCAAAAGCTGAAAGAAATCTCCTTACCGGTACATCTTTCTTCGAGCCTCTGGAACTGTCTCTAAGCTTTCTTGAAGGAGGTACTCTCGGACTCCAAGCACATAGTAATGGAAATACTCTGGCCAATATAAATCTTCGATGTTGAAGTAAAATATGTCTTTGTCCATCTCGGTCAGTCTGTCCCAAAGGTCTCCAACGTTGTTGTCCTCGAATTTCCAATTTTTTGTGCCGAAGAAAGAAATGTGATTGGAGAAATTATGGATTTTTTGGCTGATCCTCACGAATCTGGAAAAATGAATTCCCATGTTAAACATGAAGTTCACCATAGTGTTGGTAGAGAAATGTGCTGAAGCATATGTAACAACGAAAAATAATATGAGTCCGATGTGTATTCCTTTGTTTCATTTCTTATCTCCTAAATAGTGCACATCAATGGCCAAAGTTCGGAACCACGTACCTCCGTTTGCGACAATGCAGAATTTCTGCCATGTTTCATTTTTTCTTTGGAAAAGTATCAGCGTAATTTCTTTCTTGAAAACTTTCTTGATTTTTCTTCTTTGTCGACGAAATATTCCGTAAAAGTTTCTAACCATAAATTTGGCTTGTTTCTTCCCAAAAAAATAAAACAGGAGCGGAAATTTTTGAACACCGCAATGGAGATATGTGATACCGCAAATACCTAATTATTATGAACGATTTCTTACCTTGGTTTTGTGCCGACGAGTGTACAAAAACCATCTGCTAATAGCGCGGGCAGGTAATGTAAAAAGAAGGAGTAGAACAAAAACTCCATCCTTGTTTTAGCGAGTGTACACGAGGCACTCCAAATCTATGGAAAAAAATTGCAATTAGTATCTGTGAATATAGAAACTAAGAATTGGAATAAATCATAAAGTCTTTCATTATCCATTCGAGTTTCAAAATTGACCCTGTTTTAGGATAACCGAAGCCTATTAAGAACACATTTTGAGCGACCCTTCACTGATAATTTTTTCTAAGGCTCAACTTTTGGCCGTGTTGGAGTCTTATACGTTGTTCGTGACTTTCTATTTTTGGATTCCTGAATTTTAATTCATAAACTGAACATAAAAGACAATAAAAGCTGCTGATTCAATCATTTTAACGGAGCAATGACTATTCAAATCATTAAAGTTAAAACTTCATAAAATTAAGATTTTGCAGATTACTGACTATATTTTGAGAATAATGAATTGTTAGACTACATTTTGCAATTAGGAACTACAATTTCTGGCTCAGTTTAAAAACATCGTATGTGCCCTTAGTTCCCCTATACACAAATGTGTTTTTACAAATGAGCCGGAAGTTATAGTTCCTCATTGCAATGTATAGTCCATTTTAATGTAAGTGAAATTGATGTATTATAATAAATACCGCAGCTTTCAGGGGAAACTTTCTCACTGTAGCCGCATTCATCTCCAAATACTCGTTCCACGTGATACCATTTCGGTTGGTTGAAACGTAGTTATAGACTGGAATGGAAAAATCTTTCTGCCGCTGCTCCTCGCCCAAAAATGGGTCAAACTCTTCGTCAAAGAAAATTTGTCCTTCCCCACCAATAATATTTTCAAACTCGTTAATCGCAGCCTTTCTTTCTTTCCTTTTTTGAGCTTCAATGCTAAAACGAGAAGAGAAAAATTTAATTAAAATCAAATGAGCACGTAGATTAATCTCAAGTTACATTCAAGCTGTGCTGAGAGATTTTGAATCATTGCGAATAATATCTTAGTAAAATCTCCAGTCAGCCAAGCACAATTGGACTACATTTTTCAATTAGGAACTACCACTCTTGCTTTACTATAAAAACACCCATCTTCATAGGGAAACGAAAGGGTGCGTCCGTTGTTTCTGAAATTAGCCAGATAATGTAGTTCCTCCTTGTCGCAAAATGTGACCCAATGGAACGCAGCTCCGACTTCAGCAAAATTCTAAACGGCATTCAATCGCTGTCATGGATGAAGCGGAGGCATATACCAATATTCGATTTTTTCGCCTTTTGTCGTTAATGCTGAACAACCCCCAGGATAAAATAAGCGAAGCACCCGACAAAAATAGTATCTTTTGGAAGCACTTTTCCAATGGAAAACACTGGAATAAATTTAAGTTTTTCTTCTCAAATACATTGTTCTACCTCTATACCTTCAATGTATTTTCCATTTATGCTAACCATTTTTTCTTCTTTTCTTTGGGTCAGTGGTCAGTGGGTATGATTTATTAATGTTCACGCCCCGATACAATTTTTCAATAAATTTTAAATCGTGCGACAGATTTTCGTTTTTTGAAGTAAAACGAACCGGTTGATTTCGTTTGAATTTAAATAATCCTCATCTTTAAACCTAAAAAATCTCTATAAATGAATGAAAAATTACACTACATGTTAATATCATGTGGATGTTGACTTCACAAATTTAGATGAGAAACTATTACATTCTTAATTAGTCTAAATGATCGAGGCATTCACTGCCCCTTCAACTCACAATCTAGTTGATGTATCCCAGGCGCATGCAATAATGGAGTTGATGACGTAATCAACTGGAACCAACTCCGCGGGACATTCTCCATCGCCTGGGAATGTTCTTAAAATGCCCTTCATTGCTCCAGCAGTGACACCTGTTGGCCCGTAGAGATTGTTGATCCATCCACGAATAGGCTCCTTGGCGGTAGATGTAACTAAAAAGGCATTCGAAATGTTAAGAAAAATAGTCAAATGCATTGATTGTAGTGTTGTGTATTTATGCAATTAAACGTGATATGCATTTACAGATATATATCACGACACTATGTTTAATACCTGAAGGTGCAGAATAATCATAAATCGCACATCTGGACGCATAACCTAGAGGCTGCGAGTTGCCAGTTTCATAAACCGAGCCCATGTCATACAATGGAGATGATTCTTCTTGATTTAAACATGTCTCATGAACCCTGCTTGATTAACTGCTTCAAATTAAAATTGAAATTGAATTTAATTTATGAAATCATAAATCTGTAAAATACACTGAAATAATTTAAACTTGTAGCATAGAAATGAAGAATTAAGGAACACATTCTTATTTTATATTTACATTCTGGCTTACCCCATCTCATTTTTCTTTGGGGAAACAAGTTGAGGGTCTTTTTTTTTTTTTCATATAAACAAGAAAATGTATTCAGCCTATCTAACATACTACAAAAAAAAATATTTGGCAAACATTTGGCTATAGGTCTTACAACAAAAACTTCAATTAAAGAGTTTTAATCAAGAAAATATGAAATATAGTAAACGTACCAATTGATGGTCTAACAACTGCCATTGGCATGTCCTTGCCCAAGTTTTTGATTACGTCCTCAGCGAGGCATTTGGAGAAAACATACGTATTTGGCCATCCGTCTAGTAAACTGAAATTGAGTTGGAGGTATTATAAAAAGGAAACAACGTGATAGGTATGTTCAATAGCTCTTAAAATATAATTTCATAGTCCCTTGCTGAATTTTTAAAAAATATATCTTGACTGCACAATTATGGCAACGAGTATAGAAGGTGTTTCTGAAACCCCTCAAAAACGAAGCTTGAAAGGTTGGGCAAAAGCTTTTAAATTACAACTTTTGCGGCTGAAAATCAGTTCATTGTGAACTCGAACAAATTTCCAAATGGATTAGAACACAGCACCAGTAAATTTTTATCCATACTTGTGCTAATCCTGATCCCTACTTCGAAATTTTAATATTTGCTTTCGTTGCTTTCATTCTTACTGAAACACTTTTGGCGTTTCTTCTCTCTTAAGAGTAATGTTAATCGCGTCTGTCAATCTGTAGTGTGTAAACCTTTGCAAAATAGCAACGAAATTAGGCGAGCATAAGAAAAGAAGAATCATTGAGTTTTATTAAAAAAAAATCGCGGTCAAAGAGCCTCCACCTCAGTACAAGTAACTCAAGCTAGATTTTGCAAGCTACGAATACATCTTACATTGCTAATAACGCCTTATCATAACATGCAACTATTCGTGCTCGATGGATGTGGGCATTGCATATAGAACCAATTGAAGGCGCTCTGGGTTTCCTTGCCCGGACGTAAGATTTTGTCGCTTCTCTAGCGTAAAGACTTAACCGGAAATTGAGATGAGCCCTTCCGTCTATATCACTCCGTGCTTTTGAGGGCTCAGGTCGTAATAAAATTTCAATAGAGTGACAATTTGTAGCCAGGTGAGTATTTTCCCATCACATGGGTTTAAGTTAGGTGTAAGTCTAGCAAAGAGCAGAGAGTTAACCATTTGAATTAGATGATTTCTGAGCGACTTCGATAAGGTATAAAATTGGGTAGCAGGGTTTTTCATGTGAGATTACTCAAAGAAAAGCGACGAATTTCAAGTAATCAACCCTCATGCGCGTAAAAAGACTGATACAACTCTTGCGGTGAAATGCTATGATGCTTGCACAATGCGGACCACCCTATAACAGTGGATCAGTGTGAATTATAGACTATCGATATTCCCCCATTTGAAGCTATGGTGAAGAATCGACTAATTATATGGTGTTTGTTGCAAACACTCTGTCTATCGATCATTTTTCATAGGTTTACATGGCAGATCAATGGATGTATCGCAGAACACGCCACGCCACTGCCCTAAAAATGTGATTGAAGCTATGTTAGGGGGAAAATGTGTCTGGATCGTACGATTTTGAAGTTTCTTACTTTGGTGCCATTTTATTGATGACGTCACTCTCCACGTTCTCGTTCAAGGCTATCGCGATATCGCCCGCAATACGCGGGACGCAAAATTTCTCAGGTATGGCTTCGTTGTTGCAGTTGGAGAAAATCGTTGATACGAACACGAATGCCTGTTTGGAAAGAAGTCAGTTGTTGGTGAATATTAATTTTTTTTATTTCACTTTTAATCAATGATGAAAAAGAGAGAAGAGATATCACGAAAGAATCTGCTACGAGATTAACAAGAAAACCTCTACACGATCTTTACAAAATTCGGATCCATAATAGAAACATTACAAATAAATCTGCTGTAACAAAAGTCAATACGGACGCTAAACAACTGTGACATGGTGCCACATGGATTCACTTTAAAATCTATAGTTTTTTTACACTAGTTGTAGATGGCTCCGGGCCGGGCCGTTAATTCCTGGAAAAATATGTTGATGGCAAAAGTGCGAAGCCACTTATCTCCGTTGGCGCCGCGCCGTCGCAAACTTCCTTCCATACTTCATTTTTTCTATAGAAATCTAGTCAACTGTATCTCTTCAAAACTTCCTACATTTTTCTTTTCTACGCCAGCTAAATATTCCGAATAAATTCAAGCTGTATAGTTGTCATGATATTCCTCGGAAAAATTAAATAGGAACGGAGATTTTTGAAACACTACAATTGAGATACATGGTTCCGCATTTTCGCTATCAATATTGTCCACGCCGCACAGAAATGTTGAAATATTACTGTTATGCATTATAACTGTTTATACTAATCGTCATTCGACGTTTCATGATATTACATCGGTGATTTATTTGATTGGGCGGACACCTCCAAAACCATTGAAATTTTAAATAGAGTGTCCCTGAAGTGGATTACATTTTGCGATTAGGAACCACTATTTCTGACTCTTCCATAAAAGCACCTTTCTGCAGAGGGCAACCAATGGCATATATGTTGTTTTTAAAATGAGCCAGAAATAGTGGTTCCTTATTGCAAAATGCGGTCCAAGTAATGCGCTAGACTTCAGGGTTCAAACGAAGACTTTTTTGTTTTGTGAATTGTTTTCTGGAAAATCTTTTCTTCGACGCTACAGCCCAGCAAAATTGAGGATTTTTCCCGACATTTATGTGTCAATAACTCTGTCCCAAAGCCAGAAGGAACCTCATTTGATGTACAGCATTCCTGTTGAAATTAAAAAACCTCAATTTGCATGTGTGCAAGTGCCCCGCTAAAATTTCAAACCTTAAGGTTGTGCATTTCTCGCGCCAGGTTGACCAAATCGCGGGTTGCTCTGACGTTGGTGTTGATGGCTGTGCTGAGCTCGGCGTCGAATCTCACGGTAGCGGCCGCGTGGAACACGACGTCAATTTCCCGCTTCAGCATCGCCTGATCCTCCGCACTTAGACCGCACTCTTCAAGGTCCATGTCCGCACTTACGAATGCAACTTTTTTCGCGAAATTCGGCTCGTCTTCCTGCAGCTTCGCGAACAGCTAAATTAGACAGGAGAAAGGAAACAATCTATCAAAAAACGCTCATGCTCATTGAATTGTTTTTTTTTTTTTTTTTTTTTTTTTTTTTTTTTTTTTTTTTTTTCGGTGCCGTGATTGATTATGCAACCTCGCGGAGCGACGCGGAAAGTTGACCGATTCAGTGCAGTGATTCCCTTTCCTTCTTCTCCGGAATGGAAGATTTCGGAATATGTAGGGTAAAACCTACTCCTCGAGTGTTACCACTTTTTTTCAGTGCTCTTATGTTCCGGAACTTATTCCGAATTCCGGAACTGCTGAGATTTTCCTGAATTTTCCCGGAACTGTTGAGACTTTCCTGAAAGTTTCCCGGAACTTTTGAGATTTGCCTGAAAGATTCCTGCAGCTTCTGAAATTTCTGAAATGTTCCGGATCCTTTGTATTTTCTGGAACTTTCGAAAAAATCTAAAAGGAATCCCTGAACTTTTACGGTCATGGAGTGGGAGAAATTGGAACAAGAAAGTTCCGAATCCCGGAACTTTTGACGGACATGGAATAGGATCACTGCTTTAAAAAAATTTTTGAAAAAAAAGAGGCAGGAAAGTTTAAACATGTTTAATAGTTCTGAAAAAATGTTCAGCCGGAAAGAAGGGTTTATAAAAAAAGACAAATTCTCATCGCTTATTCAAAATATCGGCCGTAAAAATCTAGGTATAGAAATGTGTATTAAGGTCTGTTAAAATAGTTACCTCCAAAAGTAACTACCAAAATTTTAAAGCTGTTTAAAAAAGTAAATCTAAAAATTTAAGGTAATTTCCTGGTCTACGACGTAAATAGCCTCATTGCTGTTCGTCGTAATTAATTACCTAAAGAACTAAAATTTTGATGAAAAAGTACTGTCCAGAGCTTGTGATTCAGACTTTTCCGAGTAATTGATGGACTGAGTAAATCGAGGATTGAATTTAAATTTTTTTTAGCGCTTGATAAATGCGCGTTATCTTCAAGGAAGTAATTGTGGACATTCTAAAATGAAATGCAAATTATTCCATTGCTTATGGTAAACTCAATGTCTCTGAAAAAAATGACTATCTGTTTTTCGTGTTTCAGATCTCTTATTTTCTCCAGAGTGAACAATTATTTACTTTTACCGCATGAAGTTTCTTCTCTTATTGTATTTATACAATTAAATTGTTGTAAGTTTTTTTACTTTCGTCAAGTCAGCTCTGAATGTGGGGTATTTGAATTGCATTTTGTGAAAAGAAACCAAGAGCATTCCAATGTCGCTAAGATTGCTCAACTTTGTTTTTACCTCCTAAATATAAACTGTCATCTAAACAAGTTTCATCTTTACTCCCAAAAACTATCATTCAAGTTAAACATTACTTTTGTACATTCAATTGTTGCGCGATTTCAGTAATTCCATTACAAAAAATGTAAATTGTACTATCCCAGCAACATTAGAATGCGCTTCGTTCCTTTTTGCAAAATGCAATTCATTGAGTTATCTCACTTAAACTATCGTGTCATATATTAAGGAACAAGGCACTTACTGGTCCAGAAAACATTTCTTTGATTCGCTCAGTTGTGGTTTTGCCTTTTCGTGGTCGGGCAGTGATGTAGATCTTTTTGATTCCAGAACAGCTCCTGCATTTTGAGAGTACACAGTTTTATCATGAATTGATCTGATAAATCACTTTCTATCATGAAAGTGTGAATCTTTCAAGTTTTATTGTCCTTTTTCATGTATCAATTAATTTTTTAACAAGGTGGCAAAATAGTGCCGTGGCCACATTATTTGCGAGGAAAGCAACGCCAAAAGTTCAAAATTGACATTTACAGCCGAAAATGTTGTTTCGAGGCTGGGCTCACTGACTAAGTGTGATCTATACTGATGAGGTCTAAAGGGGCCCAAAACGTTATAGAGATCCTTCGGCGTGAACCCAGCTCAATATTCTAACGCCTATGTGGAACACTATCCTCCATCAGTCTTGCGCTGATACTCATCAGAGTTCAGGTGCATTATGGTAATTAAAATTGTTTGGCCTTGCTTTCTTCGCAAAATAGAGTGGACTCAGTAGTATTTTACTAGCTGTTACATATAGTTTGGGCCACATTTTTTTGTGTTTTTTTCTTGTTTATTTTGAAAGATATTTGCTCTAATTTTACATTGACACATTTACTTTTTAAAAATTATCGTTTATCATCGACAAAGTGGCTATAATTAGGATTTATGGGCGCAGTCTATGGGAGTAGACTCTTTCTGAATGTGCATATTAAAATAATTCACAGCATAAATAAGATTCCTCCACAAAAACAGAGTGAGAGAAGGACAAAGTTGCAAAATAAGTCACGTTGATGTTACCTTAATAATTTTTCGATTAGCACATTCCCGAAGAAACCTGTCCCTCCTGTGATTAGAATATTTTTCCCTTCGAAAAAATCTTGGATCAGGGACCTGTTCATTTCCGTTCGCGGCACTTCTATACCTTCTAGTACCAAATCTGGGATTCTAGGTGCCATTTTAAATCTAGAGACGGAGTACAGAAACAAATGAAAATAAAATAATTGATTTGGGTTTGCACCTTTTTATTATCATGGTCAAAAAGTGTACACCTTGTAAACGTTTGAGTCTCATTTGACTCGATCTATGAGTCAACTAATTCAACTCGTCTTCAATATTGGAATAGAATAATGTTTCTAAAATTTGTGAAAAGGGATACACTCGTACACCCCGGTCCAACCCCCGAAGCGCTCTCCGCCAGTGGCGTGGCGTGAATTGCGATGAATCAATTGTTCTGCCATTGAAACCTATGGCGAAGAATCGATTATCAAGGTGTTCGCTGCGAATCCCCTGTTTATCGATCCTTTTCCTTCGGCTTAAATGGCGTAACAATCGATTCATCGAAAAGCACGCCTCGCCTTTACTCCCCGCCTTAGGCGTTATGCGTTATGCGTTACGCGTGACTCTTAATATTTTATATTTTAGAGTATGGTTTGTCTTTTTTCCTTACACAAATATTTTATCGATACAATTTGGGCAGAAGGAAAGATTATGGTCTCTTCCCCTTTCTCTTCATAGCCATTAGTATGTTGAAGCTTTAAGGATCAATGAGCCATCACACATGGTCATTGGTCAGGGCTCGAAAAAAAAAGTCGTGTGTTTCCTCTTTAAAATCTAATCACAGATCAAGAAGTTAGGGAATTGACCTTTTTGAATGAGTTATTGACAGGCATTTTTGACAGATCAAATGGAACTTATACTACAAAAATAGCATAATAATTTGTATATTTGCCATTTAACAGGTATTGATTGCATCGACTTATCTTGCCAAGGAGTCGATTCCCAGACCTCCTTCGGTTCGTTTTCCTTTCGCTATTTCAAAGAGAGAATATTTAGCGTAGTGCTATTATACATATTTTGTAAGTTGGCTATTCTGTGGTGCTATGGAAAAACGCCGTATAAGCCTTTATGCGTTGCCAAATTTCCTTTGATAAATCACGAATTTGTGAGAATATTCATTAACATTTTTCCTCCGATTTTTCAGAGCATTTCGTTCGTAATTTGATCTATATAGTGTAAAAATCTCCAGGAAAAATATTGATAACATTCCTCCAAAATGAACATTTTGGTAGAAATATGACACTTCTCCAATGTTCATACGGCGTTTTTCCTCCGTACGGCAGTATTGCGGACTCCACCGGAAACCGATCCATCGTTGGTAAATTGTGATAGTGTACTTACAAAAATTATGTCAAAATTGTGTACTATATGGCCAAAAATCCCGCTAAGAACCGCAAACGAAAAGAAGAAAATCCACTGGAATAGAACAACTACACACGCCAACCACGATAAGACTGACCGATAAAGCGCGGGCTCTCCTCAGCGATCGAGCGAGACAATTTAGTCAGACCTAAAAAAGAGAGCAAAAAACGGAGACGTATAGGTTAAAAAATTAGAGCATCGACAAAAAATCGGCAATAGGAAGTCAAATCGTCCAATTCCGCAAATGCAGAGAGAACTCGGCAGGGTCCTTGAATTGGGATGAAGCCGAGGTATAGGGAAAATAACGATTAAAAGATGCACGAAACAAACGACTAATCACGCGCGGGTGTTGACTTGTTGAGCTACAAGTCATCGCTCCACTGTCATGAGAGCGTATCTTTAATTCCATGTGAGCCCTGTCATTAATATAACTCCATGCTTTCCAGGGCTAACATGAAAATGGAGAATGGGGAGTGACGAGATGGACAGGGACTAAATAATTACAGGTATATTAATTCATCATGGACCACAGCGTCAGGCTAGTCGATTATGATTGAGAGTTCATGTTGAAGTAAATACCTGACTTTCCTCGAGTACTTAAAAGGAAAGTGAGGGGAACTGTAACTTTTTGTGACCCGGAAAAATATTCTACATCAGACAGGACATTTTGTTACTTTACGGATGAGAATTTATAGATGACCACAACTGAAGTCTCGGATGGAGTAAAACACTACGCATTAATCAAGGACACATTAGTTTAAAAATGCAGATTTTCTCCTGTAACTCATCTTTCTTCTCACGTAAAACGTAACTATATTTCAATGTTGCCAGATTTTACCTCCCATATTGCATTTTCACCGGGAAAATCTTGGACATTTTAACTGAAAATTTGACAAAATTTTCCTCCAATCTCATGCAAAAATCAGAAAAATTTGGGATACAAATTACTCAGGTACATTTTTGTAAATAATTGAGTTGTTCGAGTCAATTTCGCAACCTTGGAATACAATACGTTCCTTCACCCAGGAAACGACGCATTCTCTAACACTGCGACTCATTCCCATATTGAGTGGAAATTAATCGCACTCGTTGGCTTTTGACCAGAATTTAAGAGTCAATCGATACACCCAGTTTCAAAAAAAGTAAAAACTGCAGTAGTTAAATTTCTAAAAAGTTCAAAAACATTTTTGGGAAGTCTCACTGAGGAGATAATAATACAGTATTCTAAAATTTTCGTAGCAGAGCGTGGTTTCGATCCACGGACCTCTGGGTTATGGGCCCAGCACGCTTCCACTGCGCCACTCTGCTTCGGTGCTGATAATGAAACTTGGCTACAAAAACGCTACTGCTGAATGAATTAAGACTTGTCTATGAGGATAAAAATTTTTCAAAATCGCACGCTATCATATTAATAGGAACTTCCTATTCACCTGCATATTTATTTCGTCTATCTACGTATAATTATTATGTTCATTTTGTATATTATTTTTACGTAAATTTTGCATTATTGCTTATCGACGATATTTTTGTTTGTTTGTTAATAAAACTCGGAGCCCCAACTGGTAAGTTGTAATTTTAAAAATCATGCTTAGAAAAGATTCAGCCAACTAAACAAGTGATTTTGCGATATGTGCAAGGTATCTGAGATCTGAGATAGGTGAAAATTATGATCTTTGTTGAGTTTAGAGACAATATATTCTAGAGATCTCACTAATCGGAGAGATATTTTTCCTTCAACGAGACGGCTGAGCGCCGCGTTGAGTAGAGCCAAAAAACCAAAGTGCCTTCAATTTAGTGTGTATGCAACACGGGCACCCATCAAGCACGAATAGTTGTATCTAGGAGTTCCAACCAAAGATAGGTCGTATTCAAACACAACATACCTCTAAGAATCCGTACTACTATCTCCCCTATGATGGTGTACAAGTTACTTCCGATCCTTAACGCTTAACTGATGACTTTCCTTAACGATGACTTACGTGGAGTTGTGAAACGATGAGCCATCCGCATCAAATTATGTTTTTACCGTTACATAATTTCATGAGCGGGAAAAATACGTTTATTTTTACCCAAATTGTGAAGTCAGCAGTTTTTCAAATTTTGCTGACTCGCTTACCGAAAATCCTAACGTTATATTATGTGAAGCGGAGTGGATCCTCAGCACTTTGAAGAACAATGTGCATGATGGTCGATTGATTAATTATCAATTACATTTGTGGATTAGAAGACATTTTTTTAAAGAATTTTCGAGCTCCACATCACGGTGTAGAACGTCAGGCATTTGCTCACAAAATTTGAAAAAAAAAAAAAAAAAAACACCTTCGAGGAACACAAAAAAACCCCCAAATAAATCAAATCGTTTTGCCCATCGATGTGCGATATCCATTAGGAACTTTTAAATGTTTCTTTGAAAAAATTTTTTTACAAATACTTGATGCGCTACATCTTAATAAACTGCTCCAAACCCCTTATGAAATGTCCTGTAATCTAGAGATTATCAATTAATCAATCGGCTATTGGATACTTCTGCCCAATGCCGAAGAAATCACTTTAAGAAATAATCCCTCTTTTCCTGTGGTAAAAGTTTGCAACGGACTATTGTCTACCTGATATTTTATTCCATCGGAACAATCTGTTTGTTCTAAAGCAAGTCCAGTTCTTTTTCGCGTAAAAGCTTCTCGAATACCATCGCAGTAATCGCTGGTGGCATTCGCGCGTTGAGAGAAAGTGCGAGCAAAGTCGCATCGCGCAGATGCAAATATTGACCGTGGCGCGCGGCGTCGATTTAAATTGCCGTTCCGTGCACAACTATTGAACTCGTCCATAGAAACGAATGAAAAAAAATCGAGATTTCACTGCCCGGCTGACAACCGTGCGAGCGGTGCGGTGGTGGCAATGGGCGATTATCCTTGACAGTTGCTGGCGACCACTATCATTTGTCACTCTTCATCAGTTTGCGTTTCAACGATCGTGAGGAGAGATGTGCGGCGTAGACGCCAGATTTCCAGTACCTAAAATATAATAATGATCTGAAAAATGGAAAAAAATAATGTTGCATGAAAACCGAGAATTATCATCAAAGAGGTGAAACAGTCATCATATTAGTCATACATTCCAGAAATGCATATTTTCTAGGTTTTGAGCGAAGGGATCTACCATCACGGGGTGATGGAGGAACTTTCAAACATGGACACCCATTATTTTAAAAGAGAACACGAATGTAAAATTTCATGCAATTTCAACAAATTTCGAGAGATTTTAGGACTTTAAGGTGGCGCGGATGGCTTGAAATACAGACAAGTGATTTTTGGTCTGAAAATATTATTGATTATCATTCACAGATTGGAGTTAAAACAAATGCCCCTCAACTATGAGTTTTCATTGTTAAACATGATGTCCTGTTGTTCCCGGTTAGTTTTCATAAATAAGTCCTATGGGTATGATATCTACTAATTTATTGTAGGATTATTAAATTTAAGCACCTCGGCAAAGATCCAAGCCCAGGAACTCCTGCTTTAAGAGGTATTGGATTTGATCCACTTCTTCGCCTATTTTTCTATATTCTTCTAATTTTTTTTTTCTTTTATTTTTTCACAATGTTTCATTAAGGAGCCATCCTCGGTACCGGATTATCACGCAGTAAATGTAGTCGCAATGCAATGGCAACAGTTTACAACAGCATTGTCAGAAAAAAATCAGTGCATATCAACAGAGGCCGATTTTTCAGCAATCGTGGAAAGATCCACCAGGTATCATTGATGAATTTACTGATGGAATGCAAAGTTGATCGATTTTGAAGAAGATTTGACAATCCTGGATGCAGTAAAAGGCACATAAGCCGCCACGCCGCGCGGTGAGAGCCGTCTTGGCTGGTCTAGAGAAAAATCCGCTGAAGACAAATGCGTGTCATTAGCTAAAACGTATCTGTACTACCACGCTATCAGTTGATAGGGAGAATCACACAACCCATTTTGCCGGGGGGCGCTGTAAGAACTGCGATTCATGTAGTGTCCATACGCGTAACTGCCTCTCTGATAATCCCCCTTTCTCTCGTAATCCTTCGGTTTCTGAAGAACAGAGAATAGCATAATAGCGTCTCAGAGTTATTAGAGAGGAGCAGAGGGGTCGATGACTCTTATGCATCTTCTCTCTGTGGGCTCTCTAGGTTTATAGTTCTCTAAGTTCATCCGATCATGTACCAAACGCAACGCAGGTTTAGCTGGATGACTGGGTACTGAAGAAAGACGGAAATTGAAAAGAAAAGAGGATAAACTGAGTAGAGAAGTAGGCAAGACTTGTAGACATTATGCTGAGACAGTGGATTATTTATTTTTAGTTGGTTTAATACTGAGACTACTATAGATTTACCTACAGATAACGCTATTCGGACTCTTCCATCAAATAGCCTCCTTTCAGAATAAAAATGTTCCGGCTCATTCTGCCGCTACAAAGGCTGAAATTGTACAATTTTGATGATTACTCATCAATATGTAAAGGCTTAATTTTCGTCTCAAAAAACTCTCACTGCTTTCGAGGATTGTATTCATAATTTACTGCTTTTACAACCCTAAATTGAGAATCGCCGCATGGTACATGGCCGGATTTACCTACTTGCCGCCCATGGGCCGCCTGTATTTTGCCGCCCTCTTCTCATTCATTTTGAAACATCAATAAGAACCATCAAGTGAACGTGCCGGAGGGAGAGGGGTGCATAAGACGCGTTCACTCGTGTTGGACACATTTTTTGCGTAAGCCCTGTCAACCTATTACTAGCAAAAGTTCACGGAACTTCGCGCGAAAGTTCAGTTCCGTAAACCTATCTCTGTGGGGACAAAGCCTTTCATTTGTAAGAAATGAACTAAAAAATTAAGAAAGAACAAACATAAAAGGGGTTTAATAATTTTAACTTCCGCCGCGTGCCACGCTGACCACTCTGTGTTTGGCGCAATGCGTGAAGTATTCATGTAGTCTTGTAGGCACTGTGCGTTTCTCGCCGCGCCGACCGCTGTTGGCCGTACTGTGTTTGACGCAATGCAGGAAGTATTCAGGCAGTCTCGTAGGCGCTAATATATGTTACATGCCGACCGCCGCCTCGAGGGCTTCTCCTTTTCATCTCAAGTCCTC